CCCGACCCCCACCCCCACCCATACCCCCACTTAAACCTCCCATACCGACAATCGTCTCAAATGACAAACAACTCCGCCTTCAGCTCGCGTACTTGGTGCAGGAGCAGAGCAGAACACTGCTCTGGCAGGTTATTTGGGCAAAGAGGGCTGAATCGGTTGAGCCGAGCCTGACGAGGTTGGAGCGAACGCTTGGAATGCGGATTTAAGCCTACTTAAGCGGTTGTAGAATGAGCACGCGGCAGGTCAACAAGTTGTCGATCAACTCTGCCTCTTCCGAACGCCAGCCGGCCAGCCACTCGATCGTACAGATGACGTGAGCTCAACAGGATTATGGCGATGAGCCGACTGGTTTCACATGATTGGTCGGCCGAGCAAGTTGCCTCTTCGAACTCCTTCTCGACGCGGGGTTGGGCCAGCGACGAGACGAGGTCTGAGGACTGGTTGCCGGTTGTCTTTCGGCATGTCTACAACCGGGAGGGTGGGGGGGTAGGTGGGTGGCAAATGGCCCAACACGGTGCAGCAGAGTCTCAAGTCAATGTTGTTATGACAACCGGAGGGTATCATTGACGACTGGTTGAGAGACCAGATGTTATCAGGTTGCGTGAAAATGTCATTGGCATTTTGTGTTTCAACGCGCAGACGGTAGAAGCAAAGTCATTTTATTTGAGCAAGTCTTGCTAGGCAACATTTCTGCTAAACGTTTTTGCATCGCATGACCGGTCTCGCGACGCGTCCGCAACCATACGCGACGTAACTGTTAGGCTTCCTGCTCAGCTGATGCATTATGCATGGGTGAGATGGGTCTATTCCCGTCTGCCGTGTGAGAGATAAAAAGCGACTGCGAAGCCTGTTGTCGAGGCAGTGGGGCGAAGGTGAAGAATAACAACCTAATGTGGCTAACCGCATTGCACGCATTGGTCGCGAACAAACGGCTACTCACAATGTTTGAGTAGTATGCATTGTTTAATGGAAATTATCCTACTTGTCGGTCAAGATAAAAGGTAAGATGAGTCGACTGCCGATGGGTTAAAGGCAAAATGTAAGCGGCCAGTCTGACTGATGACGTCTCGAGACGAGGTGACAACTGAGGAAACATGTCAAGCGAAAATGGTGCCTGCAGAGAATCAAACGACTGTTAACCGATTGGCCGTAATTAAAGGGCTACTTAATTGCCATTTAAGTAGTCTATCTTGAATACTACTTAATGCAAACTAAGTAATGGGCTTGATTGAAATGGCGAACACAGACTTGCTTGGTCGACAACACCACCAAAATGTGAGTTGCGATGGGTTCGGCCAGTCTTGAATGAGTGCCTCATCTGCCTTGTCACTCAGCTAGCCCATGGGCCTGTGCTTATGCCTGAGCATGTGGAGTAGAGTGGAGTGGAGTGGAGTGGAGTGGAGTGGGGTGGTACGATGGCCAGGATACTGACGAACCGGGCTCGAATCCGGCCGGCGATTCATGGGCGAGTCGGCAACTGCAGTCCACTTCAACGAGGATGAGATAGACTTTTTTGGGAGACGAGGCTAAGTATGAAATGTAGAGACATCGAGAGGCCTATTCATGTAATTGTGGGAATAGGCATGTGTGACTGCTTAACTCGTTTTCAGTGAGCAAGACTGGTTAAACTCTTATTGACTGGCTACTCACAGGATGTGAGTAGCATGTATTGCTAAATGGAAAATCGCCCACTTGCTGGTCGAGGAAAGAAGAGGTCAGACGGCCCCAGTCACGCCGAGGCGAACTGGCGATCCTCCTCTAGCCTTGATTGGAGGGGAGGGGGGGAGAGGCGCCCGGTGACACCGACTTGACCGACCAGCTCGAGTCTCGCGGCACGAGTTCACCTCCGCCGAATGAACCCTCCTCGTCGTCCAGGCCTGACTGGTTGGCTGTTTGTCTGTTTGGCTGGCTGTAGACACACCCACAACCCTCTGACGATCCCGGCCCTTTTCACCGTCATGACGAGCCAGCCAGTTGCCTTGGCTCGACTCGGCCAAATCACCTTTTTGTCACCTGTTGCCTCCGACGGAGGTACCAACTCGACCAGATGGTGCCTACACGACCCGGTCGACTGGGCACTCACCTGTCGGCCCGAAGGCAACATTGTCTCTGGCTCTCCTCTTCAACCTTACCTGGCCTCTCTCTCTCTCTCTCTCTTTCTATCTCTCTCTCTCCCCCTATCTCAACCAGTGTATGTGTCGGGGAGGCAACGAGGTGAAATTCACGTGTTGCCACCCTTTCGACTGGCATTTGCAGTTTTCTCTAATGACTCCACTCACTGTCGCTATTCCCACCCTCACACTCCATCCGCACATCGAGTATGTGTGTGTGTGTGTGGCTGGGTGGGTGAGTGCATGCTCCCAGACCAGCTTGCCGGTTCGATGTACTGCCTCGGGAAGGCCTGTTCCTGTGACCCTGACCGTCTCACTCGGACCGGCAGGGTGTGGACGGAAGAGGTATTCCAATCAGATGAGGCACTTTCCATCTTGCCCGCACCCTCACAGACACACGCGCAGACGCACAAGTGCCTGAACATGTGTCTGCAGATGGAGCAAAAGACCAACACAATCCGCATGGCATGACGATTTGCCGCATGTCGTCGAGAGGCTCCAGTCTCGGCTGACAACGGCTCAGCAAATTGTGAACAGAAGAGAAGATTTGATTTTCGTATTCCATTTCACACTGACACACCTCCAAAAAGACCCGCACACAACATGCACTGTGTTCACATCTTCGCAACTCGATTACTTCCGCATCCTGCCAGCCTGATTGGTTCAAGGGTCAAACGAAGACTCTCGAAGCTCCGATCATCTTTTAC